CCCCAAAACCCCAAAACCCCAAAACCCCAAAACCCCAATAGAATAATATATATTGATATTTGTAATAATAGAAATTAAAGAAAATGGCTTCAAGCTCTCAAAGCTTCTCCTTCGCAGGAGTATGCTTGCTGCTAATATCAGTTACTCTAATTGTTCTCTTTATGTACCTTTTAGCTATAAATATGAAATATATTAAAGAACTAAGTTATAAGATCAAAATAATCATAAGAGCAGCTTTTGAAAAGGATTCCCCGCTTCATAAATATAAGAAAAAGATTGAAAAATCAAAGCTTGATGAAACTTTCATTGAAAATATAGACGAAGAAGCTCCAAAAGAGAATATTAATCCTCAGGAAGTTATTAAGATTCTTAAATCAATGGCAGACAAAGGAAGAAGTGCCAAGTTTTGCGATATCTTGAGACTTGTCATGGAAAAATATAACCATTTACTCATGTGGCCATTTACTCGCAAGAGTGAGTATAAATAAATACGACCTATTAAGACCTCTCTCTAGATTCTATAATTTGTTGAATATAACTGGCCTATTAATCATATGGACAGTAGTTGTATTTTTAGTTGCAGCTACTTATACTTATCAGACGAGTATTGACAAGATGAGCTTAACCTCTCTGTTGTTGATTATATTCCTTGTCCCACTTCTTTGTAGTCCTATCATCATTATTTGTATTCATCTATTTTACAGAATTTATATGGATACAATTAAAAAGGTTTTCTCACAAGCTTACCATCCCGAGAAATACATGAAAGAAGAGCAAGAACAGGAAAATTCTATTATCTGTGCAGTTCCAGTCCAAAATCAGCAAAAGTCTGAAAGCGACATGTTTGAAGAAGTTAAAGACCCTAACTCTAATCACGACCATAGTGACATCTTCCAGTATGAAGGAGGAGAAGAATGTAAATCTTATGGCGATTCACAAGACCAAAGTGATAGGGTAGTGTTCCCTTCAATAAACCATGAAACCCAGAGAGGTTTTGTACCTGAGACCGACCAAATATATAATTCTGAGTCAAGCAGTGAGCCAAAGCAGATGAAAGAGACTAAAATCCGTAGGATTACAGATAATGATTCCATATCTGATGAAAGCAACCCTAACCTCCAAAATGGAAGCAACCAGAGTTCTTTGCAAAAACAAGGGAATTCTAACTCAGAAGATGGTGACGAAGATTTATCGGTTTATGAAGTCCAATCTGACGATGACACAAATCAAGAAGCAAAAATAAATGTTGGCTTGATGGAAAGCGAGTCAAGAAGTAACGAAAACCTAAAGACAATTCTGATATTTATTGGTTTGTTCTCGATCTTAGCATTTGCTGTAGCAATATGCTGTCATGTTGCCTTCAATCTGTCATCTTCAGTTACCACGTTATGAATACTGATAATAGTTTGTGAGCTTCTTGACTTGTTAGTGTTCAGAAACATTTACTGACTCATTATCTCAATTTTCCTTTGGTGTAAGAAGAGAAAACATGAAAAGAAGCTGCAGAAATACTTGGAAATAGTCATTCAAAAGTATCTTTCTGAAAAATGGGATAAAAATGCTCCATTGGGAGGTTTTAATTTTAAAAACAAGAGGCAGGCTCTTAAAGATGGACAATTTGATTCCGAAAACAATTTTATAGGAGGAGAGAAAGGGTTCATCAAGAACTTAGAACATGAAAATGGTAGAGATATCACAAACTTTCAGTTTGACGAGACTAACGAGAACGCTATGAAATTGAGAGAAGATGCAGAGGCTAGAAGACAAGCACTTTTGCTTAAAATGCGTTCAACTAATAATAGTAACGCTTTCACGGAAACTGAGTCTAAAGCCATGACGAGAAGAAAGAACTTAAAAGACCCAGATGGAGTCCTAGGAATCAATGACGATATGAGCGATCTCGATCGTCCTGCCTTCCAAAGGCAACTAAATAAGGATGAAATCGATCGAATTCTTGCTGAAAATCCTGAAATTGCAGATGAGTTCGATAACGAGAGACAAAGATGGTTAGAGTTTGGAGAAGAGGATAACAACAATATCAACCCTCTCAGTGACTACAACACACTCCTCGTTTCAAAAATGCAAAAGGGCTACGATAAGAAGGCAGATGGGATGATTGATGATTTCAGAAAGAAGGAATTCAACTCAAAACTAGCCAAAATTGAGGAAGAAAGAATCAACGACCTAGACGACCTAGAAATGGACAAGCTTGAAATGCAAGGCAAAGCAGTTGCTTTCCAGAACTCTGAAGGCATAGTAGTGCGTAAATAAGATCAAGAAGAAAAGAAAGGGCAAGGGAAAGAAGAAAGGAAAAATGTTTGTCTTAGATACCCCTTATGGCAGAGCCAAGTATTATAAGAGGCCTCCTTCTCCTGAAGCAATTGATGAGGAAGAAAATGTCATGTTCCAGGATTATAGAAATATAGACCAGAAAGCAATTGACAAAGCAAATAAATTAGAGAAAGCCAAGAAAAAGACAAAGAAAGGCAAGAAGGATAAAAAGAGTAAGAAGTCCCAAAAGAAAAGGTTAGCCAACCCGAAAGAGAAGTCATTCGATACAATTTCGGGATCAAGTGCAGTCGAAGGAGATACTATTATGTTTGAAACTGGTCTTGGACCCCAGAAAGTAGATGATTCAGGAATTGATGGAGTTGAGGAAAGAGATATGGTTGTGTATGACAAAGATGATATGACTAATTTCTCAAGAAGTTATGGGTTAAACAAAATGCAGTCAAGACTTTCTCTCATGAACTGGGCAAAATCTCAAGAAAAGCTCTCCACTGGTGAGATTGGAGGGGATTCTGATGAGGATCAAGTAGCACAGTTTCAAACTAACACTAATTTTGGATTCAATTCGATGAACTCACCAGAACCAAAAGCTAAGCTTATTCAAAAGAAACCTAAAAGAAAGAGAAAGAAGAGGAAGACTAAGTCTATATCCGTTAATTCATTCAGAAGAGGAAACCAACTTACTTCTCGAAGCGTTCTATCCTCAATCGATTCAAGAAATTATGATTCCGAGAACAACTATTCTTCCGAAGAAGACAATCCTAATGATAGATCAGGCTTGCTATCTTTCGTTGTTGGAAAAACCAGGAAAAAGAAAGGAAAAATCAAGAAGAAAAATAAATGGGTCAAAGGAAGCCAACATGAGAAAAACGAAGGAAGAAAGAGTTTTAGACAAACAACCAATCTATCAAAGGTATTGGACAATTATAGAAAGAGAATGAAAAAGACCAAAATACCAAAAAGAGCAAAGCCCTCTCCTATGAAGATGATGTCTTCTGGCTCTCCTTATGAAGAGTACCTCCCAAATAGATTCAAAGATGTGTATCAGGAGGATAATGAAAATTTTCAAGAAGAAAGGCCTATCAGAAGACCTAAACCTATGAAATTACCTTCAGAATACACATTGAGTCCTAATTTCACTAGTGCTTCAAAGCCTCCACTTGACAAGCCAGCTCAAAGAAGCTTAAATTTCAATAAACCTTCAGACGAAAGGATACAAAAGAGGCTCAACAAATTTGCTGAAAATGATGAAGATAAGAAATTCTCCTTACATGATTACGATCTGGAGAGCCCGATTCAGGAATCACCAAACGAAGTTGGAGATACATCCTCTCTCGAAGAACATGGTGAAGATATTAGTAAACCGATGTTCCAGAGGAATAATATTATAAAATCTCCATCTGAAGACACTGAAAAACAACCTAAGAGAGAGCTCTTATTTTCAATGAATAAAGATTTTCACATGAATACAGAGAAACTACAATCCGTAGATTCTCGAACCCATTCCAAAGATGGTAGTAGAGCAGGAAGTAAAGGAAGAACTTACATAGGTCAGAATGCTATCTTTAGTCAGAAATTTTAATAATTTCCATAGTTTTAACAATATGTTATCAATTATCACAAATAAATAAGGGGTTTTGGGGTTTTGGGGTTTTGGGGG